GCCAGCGCAAAACTTGCGATCGCAACGGCTTCGAGGACAAGCAGGATGGCAAGAAAAATCGGCAGGACACTGATCGGCGCCCGGTCGGCCACCACTCCGGCCAGAAGCCGTACCGGCACGGACAGCAGGATCATGCCGCCGAACAGCGTGCCGGCAACTGTGGCGGTCAGGCCGTTGTCGGTCATGAGCGGAACCAGGTGCACCGAAAGCCCGGTCACAACCGCCGCCTGTGCCATGAACGCAAAGGCAATCAGCCAGAGGGCCGGCTGAACGAGAATCGAGCGGACCGTGCCTGCCGAATTTTTGGCGATCCCGCTTGCTGGCGGTTGTGGCGGGGTGTGCCTCTCGAACGTCAAAAGCGGAATGGGCAAGAGTGCCAGAATCACCAGCGCCCAGATAGAGCAGGTGTTGCGCCAACCGACGGTGTCGACCAGCACCGTGACGAAGGGGACAAGCAAAGTCGAAACGACCGCGGCCACCGAGAATCGCATGGCAAGCGCCATGCCGCGCGTTTCCCTGATCGACGCGACCACAAGTTTGTCGAGCGCAACCGTGAAGCCCGCAGCCACGCCGGCCGAAACCAGTACCGACCACGCGAGATAGAGGGTAGCTTCGGTCTGGACGAACCCCAGCGCAACAAGTCCGAGCGCCGTCAGCACCATGCCCAAGACAACAACGCCGCGGGCTCCGGAACGATCGGTAGCGCGCCCGACGATCGGCGAAGCGATACCGGACGCCAGGCGGCCCAGTCCGATGGCGGTCGAAACAGCACCGCGACTTGTCTCAAGGTCGAGTGCGATCGGCTTGAGCAGCGCCGAGACTGCGAAGGCCACGAAACCGTGACCGAAGCCGGTGAGGACCCCCGTGGTGGTCACGAGGCCCCAGCCGCGTTTGGCGGGGGGACTCACAGGCTGGGCAACCACAACACGATGATCGGAAATCCTATCAGCATGGCCACGTGGAGAATGTCCGCCGCGACGAAAGGCAGTGCGCCCTTGAATATCTTTTCAAGTGGAATGTCCTTGACCACCCCTGAAAGGATATAGACGTTCATGCCCACCGGTGGCGTGATCAGTGCGATCTCGGTCATACGAACCACAAGCACGCCGAAGAGAATGGCGTCGAACCCCAAATTCATCATCAGCGGAAAGAAGAGCGGTATGGTGAGCGTCATCATCGCTGAAGCATCGAGCACCATGCCGAGCACGAAATAGACTCCGAGGACGAGAAACAGCACCGCCATGGGCGGCAGACCGCTGTCGGTGACGAAGTTGACGATGTTGAGCGGGATGGTGCTTGCGGTGATGAACGAGTTGAAGACCAACGCGCCAAACAGGATGCCAAAAATCATGCCCGTGGTCTTGAGGGTCGAATAAATGGCGGTCCTGGCCGCAGCCCAGGTCAGCCGACGGCGCGCCACCGATACGACGATAGCCCCGAACGCCCCGATTGCCCCGGCCTCGGTGGGGGTGAACCAGCCCAAGACGATACCGCCCATCACCAGCGCGAAGAGCACGATAACCTCGCCCGTGCGCGTAAAGCTCCAGAGCTTTTCCTTCAGCGTATATTTCGGGCCCCGCGGCCCGGCATTAGGATCGAGCCGGCACCAGATAGCGATGGCGATCATGTAAAACAGGGCCAGCAGGATGCCCGGTATGATGCCGGCGGCAAACATCTTGCCGATCGAGGTCTCGGTCAGGATGCCGTAGATAATGAACATGCCAGACGGCGGGATCAGCGAACCGATGGTTCCGCCGGCCACCACGCTGCCGGACGCCATCGACACGTTGTAATTGTGCTTGCGCATTTCGGGCATGGCCACCAGCCCCATGGTGGCCGTCGTCGCAAGGCTCGACGCACTGACCGCGGCAAATCCTGATGAAGCCCCGACTGTCGCCATGGCCAGCCCCCCGCGCCTGCGGCCAAGCCATCTTGAC